ACATAGAATTGGGCCTAAAATGCTTCCCCGAGGAACACCGCATGTTAGGCATTAGTTTGGAACTAATATAATCAACGGCCACTACTTGGTGTCGATTAGACACGTAGCTCCTCCTTTTTTATCCCTCCTTTCCGTATCCTTCTCCCTTCTTGCTGCTCCTCCCCCTTCATAGCTTTCTCCCTCCCTTAATATCCCCCATCTTTCCCTCTTTATCTCCCCTCTTCTACATCTACTCACTCATGTCTTGATCCAATCTTACACCTTCCCTCTCTCTTCATCTCCCTCACTTCTCCCCTTCACCTCCTTTTTTCATTTTCTCTCTCCCACCTTTCACCTTCTCTCTTTCTCTTTATAATCACCCCCATTCTATCTCTTTCGCCCATTGTGCTTCTTTCTATTTCCACAATGTTCTCCTTATCCCTCCTTTCCTCTAAAACTCTTTCTCCAAGCCCTCCCCCTCTTTCTCTCTATCTCTTCCACACATCTACCTTTTAAATAAAACATCAAACAAAGAGTTGTGAAGTTACCAGTAGTAAATGACCAAATAAAACTTGCATAATGCCACAAACAAAATAATGCTAGAAACTCCATCATTCACTCTGTCAGCACGATTTATTCGCAGCAAAAACAATAAAAATTAAAAAATTGAAAAAAAGAACCAACAGATAGTCAACTGCACACAGACCGGTCCTCTGCCGACTTCTAACCTATACATACTCAATTTGAAAAAAAGAGAAAAATTTACAAACCTATACCTTAATTCTCACATCTTCGAAAAAATATTTAGTTAATCACATTATAAAAAAATGACCACAAATTAGGCTTGGCAAACGAAACACCCAATGTTGAACTTCTTTTTCATTAAGACATGGGCTTTGAAGAAAAAATCCACAAAAATAGCAAATGCAAGCAATCCAAATCATCTTAAATTATAAAAAATCAGCATAGAAACTGCAAATGATATTGCATTACACTATCAAAAACAATTTTAAGTAGACCAGCAAAAAAATATCTTTAACCAAAGGAAATAAAGCATGACAATGATTTCTATAATTCTTGTGACAGTCACAACTAAAAATAAATCTGCATAAAAAACACAACTTCTAAAGATGAGCTGGTGATTGATTTGTGACATCTTTGGTTTAAAATAAAGAATGACAAAGACCAACAGTGGTGGGTGAGATCATCTAATACACCTTTCATACTTGAATGTAATTTGCTCAGCGTCTACAAAATGGCGCCTGGCTGGAATGCTCCCCAGGGAGTGGAGAGAGTGTGCATATATAGTGTGCGGGCAAGCCTGAATCCTATGACCGGGTTAATAATATATTAGTAAAGTGTTTACAGACTCTGACGATGCATTAAGCACTATATAAAAGCAAAATATTATTATTATTTGTGAACGGACACTCATAAAATTAATACTTCCATTTAGCGGGTCTTCTGAGTTTGTGAATACGATTGTAATTGTTATTGCTCAAAATTTTAGTCTGCATCATTATTCACAGGTTTTGTTTAAACAGGTGATCAGTGTGATGAATAGTGTAGGCAGTGATTGAAAGATAAGGGGATGGCATACTAAACAGTTTCAATAGAAAGACGGCGCTAAAGGCAAGTACTGTTCAGATGGAAATATTCACAGAGTCAGAATTTTCATGTTATTCTACCGGAATTCAAAATAACTATAATTAAGATTCTGAGAAGCTGTATTTTCTTCCAAGTTGGTAAGAGGTCGTCATTAAAAAAAAAAATTGCATGGAATAAACACTGATTACTTGTATTTTACTATACAGATGTCTGTCCAAACCAAATGCAAATCTGACCGGCTACGCACAGAAATTAATGAATGACCTGTATTAATTTCTGTTATGAGACTTCTCACATTCACAAAACTAAAAAAGAGAGCAAATGCGTTCTATATAAATGTAACATGATGATTTCTTTGTATTTATTCTATAATTTGAGACCAGTTTCACAACCAACGTAAATGCAATGCTTAAGCCTATGCACAGTTGTTGATTTGTGAAATCAGCAACAAATTCTGCTCAAAGCAATTGTTGCAAATATTATGTCTTACTAGCATTTCTTAAGAATGAGACACTATGACTTTAAAAAATAGGATCAATAAAGATGTCCTACCATATTCAATAATTTTTTCATATCAATGGATATCACCATTCTAGTTAATCTATATAATTCTATATTTTGATTTCATTTAAGTGGTTCACTGTTCAAAATGCATGATACAATCCAAAAAGGAAAAAGAACCATTTCCAACTAAAACTTTACCTTTCTTTCACGACCGAGTATTTGGAAAAGCTCTTAAAATAAAGAAATGATGAAATGATACTGGTATTTCAGAACCCCTTCAAGGCATTCTAATGCTTTATGTTGAATCAGATAATTGGTTGAATTAAAAACTGTAAGTACAAAGCTTATTGGCAAAGCTCCAAGCAAATTGCAACGTTTCTTCTCTACTTGAAAACATTTCCAACCGAAAAAAATACATTTATGCATGTACATTTCAACGAAAAAATAACTGTGGGACACATTCATTTCATTATCCCAAGACTCTTCTTACAGAATATATATATATTTCTATTTTTCTTTCACTCACAATATGGCTTCCATGCAAGCATTTGCTTACATAATTACTGTGTTGCAAAGTGGGTATTCTACATGAAAAAATTTCATCAAAATAGCATGAATTATGTACAACATTTCACTTTCTACAAAGATACACCACCAATAAAAGTTGGCTTCTTCTCCGTCAAAATATTTCTAATTCTTTCTCACGAAATAAATCTACACGTTATCAATGCATGCTAAATATACATATCAGCGGACAAAATGTCCTTACTTTTAAGTGTTATTAAATTAAATCTTTGAGTCAGAATATAAATTGCAAGAGAAGGACAAAAAGATTTCATTTTGAATACATTCAGTATGGATTCAGTGTCATATCCCAACACTGGTTGGTTCACACAAATCACAAATCAAATCGTTTGTTCAGAGCCAGAAGTGTGTTAACTCAATGTTGGGAGTGTTAACGCCCTTTTGGCTCTAAGCATCCAATTTCTTTATCCATATCCATACACACAACAATTGATCTTAAGGCAAGCATTTTTGAAAGTCATCTCACATCTCCTAACCCTGCATTCACACAGTGAACGCATACTATACAGAAACATCATTTCATCATTATTAAGGCAATGTGAACACAATTCAGGATTGTGGGCAGAGTTCCATCGAAGTATCTGGCTGCATTCACATTTCAATTTAAACCACGAATTAAAAACAATGTGAACATTATACCTGTACATCTCAACTCCTATCTATACCAATCAAACAGAACATATAGGGCAGTTTGAACACAATCAATGACTGTGGGCAGAGTTCAATTATGATAGCTTGTTGCATTCACATTCCATTTTAAGCCACAACTTCTCCTTACATGTATGACCTTACCTCCTGAACCCAACAAATAGATCACAGTCAGTGTGACGCTTCAAGCACTGTCATAAGCCACCGTGTAAACACACAGGCCATTACATTCCTAACGGTAACCAAAATTTACACAGAAATCAAACACAATCAGTCTCTTTTTACTTCTTCCAGCGCACTTCTTTCAAACATGGACCTTTTAAAACAACTTCTTTGCATCTGCAAATATTTCATACTATTTCTGAGCAGGACGTACATTTACCCTTCTCTGCTGGCTGTGGGTGCCACGTGGATGAGGCTAAAAAAACCATCTCACTCCCGAGAGCTAAATGGGTGTTCTCTCATACCGTAGTCTTCTCTCAACAGATGCTACAAGTTTCTAAAGTTATAAGTGAACATCATCCATGTAAACATACTATTTCATTAAATACAAAGGCAAGGAAATGGTTCTCTAATCGACGATTGAGAAAAACTTTCATCAAACTCCGCTCTCCAAAGCTTACAAAATTCTTCTTTTTTCAGAAAAAAAATCTGTTTCAATCATAGGGAAATGAAAGAAGTTGACAGTCAGTCTCACCCAGTCTTTTGATAAAACAAATCGAAATGTCATAAACTTTGGTTGAAATGACATGACAATTAATATCAGTTTATGACTTTGACATTTCTTTGGAATTTGATTTTGATTTTTACAAAAAGTATGACCATGCTCAAACATTAATCTTTTTTAGTATTGAATCGGAATACAGTTTATCTGCTACTTATGCCGAGCTTACATGGAATAAAATTCTCAATAGAATTGATCAAAAAGAGATTTGGCAGATTAAGTCTCACTCATGATAAAAACATCTGAATACAAATATAATAAAAGCCCTGGATAAATTCATCAATATAATCTAAATTTTGTCAATCAATTTCTCTTTATAATACAAGAATTCAAATTTAATTCGGCAGTAGGTGTGTTTTGAATGTATCAATACGTGTCTGAAGAAATCATTTAAATTATGGCAGGAAACTGAAGCCCCATATAATTCATATTTCAATTTATATTGAACCTTATAAGTATATCGTCTGTTCAAAGCCAGAAAGGTGTTCAGTTTAACCCCCTTCTTGCTCTAACAGATGATATGCATTCCTTAACTAAGATTATCAATTATGATACCGAAACAGCTATTATAAGACTATATGTCTGATGAAAACACAGGCAAAGTGAATGTATCTACGTAACTATGGCAGTGAAAGAATTGTAAAGCTCAAAATATCACAAGTTTAGACTATGAAAGCAATGAGAATGTCCAGATTTATCCCCATCGTTTCCCTTTCAATTTGTGCATAATTTAAAGAAATTGCACTGGACTTTAATTAATCAAAATCAAATAAATTCCTTCTTTTAATTTTAATGTGAAAAACCAAAAGAAAAGGGTTTTATCTCTCACTATCACACACTCTACATGGTTCAAAGTCTCTTATTCTCATCCATCCCATCTCATACTTTCCTTATTAAACAGCAATCCATAAAAGAGTACTGTACGGGTACAGTATTCTGTTGATTGAACAGTAAGTAAGGCATTTGGCCAAGACTTTCCATGTCATCCCAAGTTGATGTCAGACTGATGTCTGATATTTTTTTGGGGGCCGATGTCAAGATGGTGTCTGCAGACTTTGATTTTCTGATAACAGACTATTGTCTGGTATCCGTGATTGGCTAATATCAGACTGATGTCTGTTAGCTGTCATTGGCTGATGTCTGCTTGCTGTAATTGGCTGATGTCTGTCTGCTGCTAGCTGTGATTGGCTGATATTAGACTGATGTCTGCTAGCTGTAATTGGCTGATATCAGACTGATGTCTGCTAGCTGTGATTGGCTGATATTGGACTGGTGTCTGCTAGCTGTCATTGGTTGATGTCTGCTTGCTGTAATTGGCTGATGTCAAACTGTCTGCTAAGTGTGATTGGCTGATGTCAGAATGATGTCTGCTAGCTGTTCATGGCTAATATTAGACCAATGTCTGCTAGCTGTGATTGGTTGATGTCTATCTGTCTGCTATTAGTTGATGCAAGTCTGATGTCATAAATCACGATAGTTTAAAGTATTCAACAGTCAACAATGTAAATTGTTCCTAGAGTGGCTGACTTGAGGGTACCCAGATAGGTTTGCGCTGCTCAGTATCAATCAAGTTCTTGACACGAAGTGATATACTGGCCAAGTTTCCTCCTTGAATAATATCTGCATTTCAAGATAAAAAAAAGAAAATCATTTAAAAGTGAATCTGTGCTCATCTTTTTGTAAGTACTCAAATTTGAAAAAACACAATTACTATGAAAAGACAATCATTCAAAAGGGAATATCTGCCCATCTTTTTGTATGTATTCAAATTATAAGAAAACACAATTACTATGAAAAGAGATTCATGCACAAATATATCACTGATGTTGACATTTTTCTAACAGTTTTTTCTTCTTCCATTGAAATGATAAGTAACAGGTACATCATATCGTAGCTCACAAATTGCCACTCTTCTTATCACTTAAAATGAATTTAAATGAAGACTAGTTTGCCACTCTCCACTCAGGCGTTAAATGGTTACTGGTAGGAAGGACTTCCTTGAATGCTGTGAGCGCCAACAATTGGTAGCGTAGCAGAGCCAGGGTAATATTGGAGCACCTTGAGAACCTTGTATGGTGGATATCTGGGCTATATAAATCTCTAATATTATTATTATTATTATTAATTAACAAAATCAATTTTCAAATAAGATGTTGCTACACAAGTTTTCTGAATATATCATGTACATTAAAATTGTAAGAGATGCAAGATTTTTTTTTTTTTTTGGGGGGGGGGGGGGGGGGGGGGGAATTGACTTACCTGAGAAGAGGGACTTGAAATCCTGCTCAATCTTATTGGCAGCCTCCAGGAGTTCCTTTGCTTGTTTGTGAGTTACTTTTTCTCGGAGGAAGTGAGGATCTTTCTGCTCCCTATAAGATGAGAGAATTCAAAAGTTTATCATTGATATCATTAATACAATTTATCTTCATTGTCATCATCATCATCATCAGCAATGTCTAACGTCTTCCTCCTCCTACTCATATCTATCAACATCACCATCACCTCGTGAAATAATCATTGATTTTGGTTGGAGCGCCTTGAGCACCTTCGGTGATGGATATGTGCACAATATAAGTATCCAACAATAATATTATTATTATTATCAATTTTGTTTGATTAACATCTACAATACTTACTTAATGTTCTTGATTGTCTTGAACTTGACAAAGATAACGATGGGGTGAAGCTGTAGTCTCTGAAGTCTCTCGGCAACATGAGGATTGAGGCCATTTAGGATGCAATGACAACCCTGTAAGGCAGGCAAAGCAGAGTCAAAGTCATACCGGTAATTACTTTTTTAATTACAAATTGGCAATTTACTTGGTTTACTTGGTTGCTGAGGCTTGAAGCATCAGCTTATGAGCCCATTTTGACAATCACAGCACTAGTTACGTTAATAAGGGATATAATTGAGAGGATAGTGATGCCAATACTTTTCAAGTTCAGATTTAAAGAGCTCTGTTAATACATGTAGATGGTGCTGTCGATTGGGGTAGCCCGTTCCAGTTGTTACTAGATCAAACAGCAAGGAACCTCTGCCTAACACTTCTCTTACAATGTGGCTTCTCAACTTTGAAGTTCTTGTTCATTTTTTGTGATTTTTGTAAGCCTCATTTCATAATTTTCATTCAAACTGTTTCAATCAATACACATATATATTTTTTTAAACTATGAGTGGAGTGGAAAGTACACATCGTTGTTGCCAACTTAAGGAGCAAACGCAGATTTATTTATACCTTTTACAGAAAACTCTTAGCTGCTATTGGTAAACTCTTTCATCAAGGAAAAAAACAAAGTTCCTTTGACCTTTGACCTTGTGACCCCAAAATCTAATCAGTTCATTAGCTCTGCAAGATACATACATGACCCAAGTTTGGCAGGAATCCATCAATCGTTTCTTGAGATAACGCGATTACAAGAACGGGACGTACAGACGGACAACCCGAAAACATAATGCCTCTGGCTACTTCGTAACGGAGGCATAAACACAAAATCCTTGCTTCTGATTGGTTATCAACAGATTAGTCACTGATTTTTGTCATTTGTCATTGAAAAAGGGCTTTGTGAAACAGGTCCCAGGCATCACTTACCTTCTTGCAGATATCTTTGACATCCGATGTGTTAATGACCTCAAACATGCCGTCCTTTCGCTGGTAATCTAGGATGAGTCCGTTCTCGATGTCCTTTTCCAACATGTGGCTTGCCGACTGTACCATTTCTGCAGAAAAGGATGAAGGATAACACACATTATTTACAATCCTGACTAAAAGACATGGTTAATCATCATCATGATCTATTAAAGTGAGAATTTTCCCTCTGACAATGGGTTACTGACTTTCAAGACATGATGACACTCCCTCCCTTCGCTTCTTTTTGTCTCCAGAATACTCCTCATTTAGACCAACTTTACTGCATTCTTTCTTCAACACATCTTTTCATGATACCTTCAGTCTTGAATTTTTGCTTTTGAATATATTTGATTTTAAGGCTACAAATGGCTCTCCATAATGTTTAAGACCAACTTAGAATTAAGTTTGACTTAGGATCTTTGTGAAACACCCCCAAGAAACATGTGTTTCCAGGAAACTTTTGTGAGTTTCACGAATGGTTTTAATAATCACTTAATCATAAATAATATCAATCATCAAAACAGATGGGTTGGACTTACTTGGATAAGCTCTGAAGTATTTGTTGGGCGATTCCTCCGTCATCTTCAGAGCGACTTTCTCTACTAAAGGCCCCAGCAAAATGACAGGCCGTTTGATGTGCACTGGAAGATAAAAAATTTCAGTGAAAAAATAAAGTTCAGAAATTAAAATATTTCATTTTTCCTAGAATATTTAGAGGGCAATGTTATAGTTTTTAACTGATCCTCAATAGATATTCTTTTTTTACTTAGATTTAAATGAAGATACGAAAGGCTTTTTCTTTCTTTAATGAAATGTTAAAGACTAGACTTTCTGAAGAGACCTTTGAATCCCATTATGTTGATAATAAAAATGAATATCAGGTTATTGAATTTATTCACTTTACAAATAATATGAATCATTATAGTCGAGGTGTCGTGGTCTAGTGGATATGTCGACGGACTGTGGATCACAGGGTTCGCGGTTCGAGTCCCACCGCAGCACTAAGGTCCTTTGGCAAGATATTAATCTACATTTGCCATTCTCCACCCAGGTGAAGTAAATGGGTACCTGGTAGGAAGAAATTCCTTGACTGCTTTAGCGCCTTTTCATGGCAGCTCAGCTTTAGCCAGGGTAATAATGTTATACTTTGTATTAAGCGCAGTAGAGTATATTCATTTAGTTAGGGGCTGCGCTATTTATATATATGGACTTATTCTTATCATTATTAAAAAGGAAAACAAAAAAATAAATATTTAACAAAACTTACTGTCTAGAGGCTCCACCCTCAGGTATGTAGGGACACTTGCATCTGTAATTAAGATAAAATTACCAATGTTTTCAACATCTGACTGTATCCTCGATAACGTACATGTACAGCCTATCAATTCAAATTTCTACCGGTACATGTAACGGTACAGTGGTTTACCAAATGCTTTAATTTATCACTGACTTTCTCAAGATTATGTTGGCTTTCCTTTGCAATCTGTGCAATCATTCTTCTTCTTTATTCAGCCTAACTATTGTGGGTATTTCACTTTAGGAGCATGCCATTTAGTTAAAAGAGAGCGCAAATGATGAATTTAATCATCCATGTTGCCTATTTAGACAATATGTTTCCGTCGGTAAAAGAAACCTTCAATCCTAAGTCCTGGACAAAATCAGAAAAAAAGGGCAGAGGAGAAGAAATTTCTGATCATACATGAACAAGAACTGCATTATCAAAAAGCACCGACAGGATTTATATAAAGAAAACAGGCATCAAGATCCTTCGAATCGTAACGTGTTGAAGCAGTTAAAATCCTTGCATTTTCATACAAATCGGTAATTTTCTAAATATCTCTACCACAATTCTTTGCATATTATATTCATTCATGATAAATGACATTACGTGAGAAAAAAGAAATATAGCGATGAGAGAAAATTACAGATGTTGCCAATTTGAGGTAAGAGAGTTCATCAACTCATTCTTGGTCTTGAATCATATTAATAACAATATTTATAAAGCGAAACATATCCATCTCTAGAGATGCTCAAGGCGCATACAAATAATTCAAATTAATATTCAACATACTTAAGATTAAAGGAATATTAAATGTTAACTTGCATTAGATAACACAACTTCATGGTGTCAAGGTACATACAATGTGGCACAGTGCGATTATTCATTTTGCATGCATTGTTTAAAAAGAACATTGAAATTTAACAAAATGCATTGAGCATCAGGTGAGTTTTAAGCCCAGTTTTGAAAGTAGAAAGAGTGTTGGCCGTCTGAATAGAGAAAGGTAACTTATTCCACAAAGAAGGAGCTGCTGATGCAAATGCTCTATCTCCCCCCCCCCCCCCCAATTTCTTTTGGTACATATTTCTTTAAGCCTATTATTATGTGATGATCATGAGCTAGTCATTTAGTGCACGATAGGTTAAGTGTAGAATTTTATAGATCACACGTTGTTGAACAGGGAGCCAGTGCAGAGATTTCAAGATAGGAGTGATATGTGATGATCTTCGAATGTCTGAAAGAAATGAGCAGAAGTAATTTAGTACCTTCATGTACGGGGACGTCCGTCATGGAACCCTCGCTGAGTTCCCTGCTGTCCTTGGAGTTGTTGTGCTGGTGTTTCTTCTTGCGCTTCAGGAAGCTGCGTCGGGCGGGGCCGGAGCTGCGCCGGGAGGATGCGGTCCTCAGCTCCTCCTCCTGCATCCCCTCTGAGAGGAGGCGACGCCTCACCATCTCACGGTGGAGACTAGAAAAAAGAGAAACAATTGGAACATGAATCCATTAACCTGGTGGAACTATCAGTAAGATGAGAAGAATTCTAAAGCAAACGCTCAAGCTCTAACACATTCTACCACTGATAGCCTGTCCAGACTATTTATCTATCTATCTAAGTATTTTCTCCCGCTTCGGAGGCTGATTGCAACATCTCTCCATTCTCTCTATCTTCTGCCATTCTGGTGCACTCTTGCAGTTTTAGTCCACTCCAGTTCTTGACATTCTCTTCCCATTTGATTCTGGGTCTCCCTCTAGGTCTACTTCCTTCCACTCTTCCTTCCAATATATCCTTTAAGAGGCTTTGGTGCCTTATCACATGTCCAAAGTATTTGATTTTTCACTCCTTAAAGGGATCCGGTAACTTTGTCTCAGATTCTGAAATAAAATTCTGGATTTAGCTCATGATGCAATGATAATTATAAACCTTAAGGTCAGTCAGGAGCCCCATGACTTTTACAAGCCGATCGCCTGTCTGATTATCAAGATATTTATGGTTGGAATTACAAATTTTGAAAACCGTTCGCCTGACGGTTTTCATAACACTACAGTCTATTGGGGGAAACGAGTATGGTAAAACCGGTCACTCAAAGATTTTTACTTTTTTGAGGCACTTCTTGATCATTTTGAAGCGCAATTTTTTTTAGGGCTTCAATATTACACCATATCACAGACACTGATAACACGTAGGGCCGTGTATCTCAGAGTTAACATTGTTAAACGATCCCTTTAACTAATCCTACTAGTGCAATTTGTTTACGCCCAGAATATTTATATTAAATTATATAAAGAAACATTGTATTGGATAAAAATAATCATACAGGGAAAGGAGTGCACAGACTAGAAAACAACATCTTATAAAGAAATGTCGTATTAACAAATTTTTGGAGTGGTCAAGTGACATTGACAGCTGGCCAATCATCAGTGTACACTCACGATAAGCCCCACCCAGTTAGCAACACAAATTGATGGCAAATCTATATACAATTTCCTAAATCTTAAATACACAGTTGCAACTGATAATGATTTCAAGTTGGGTGTTTAGGCCTGGTGTTAGTGTTTAATAAATACTAACACCAGCCCTTAACACCGAAATGGAAATCAGCTGGTGTTAAGGCTTTGACCTCTAAATATTGTCAACTTCCGGTAGCTAGTGTTATCAATTTTGCAAAATTGTCTTCTGCTGAACCAACCTTTGTGGCTTGTCTTAATATTTTACATACAAATGTCCTATTCACTAACACTAGCCCCTCGGGATTAAGCAAATATCAATTTCCAGTTCGGTGTTAGTGTTGTACCCGCACAACAGTCAACGCACGAACGACGCTAATTTGTTGTCTGGCGATCAAATAAAATTTAATAGCTCTTCACTGCTCTAAACACTTACACTAACACCCAACTTGAAATCACTCGTTGAGTTACAATTGATCTATCACAACTCGTTATAAGACTGGCCCCAGGGGTTGCGGATACTTACGCTGTCTTGCTAGGAATCTGACCGCCGGGGCCCCTGCACTTCTTGCCCTCGTGGTTGATAAGCCAAGAGAACCATACCCCGAGAGAACCGTTGTACATGGTGTCTTCCACGACCAGGACCTCTTCCTTCTTGAAGGACAGCTGGCCTTCCTTCTCTGCGGAGAAATCCACCAAGGCCTTGACGTACAGCTCATCGCAGTTGCGGTTCTGGATCTTGTTGAATACTAGACAAAATGAGTCATAAAAGGGATGAATAATGATTGTCGTCACGTATTGTGTAAGCACACTCTTCCCCCGTTCTCAATTGTGGTGATTTTACGCCATACTGCACAGCACTCGTAACTCCTTGCCAACGATAAATCATGTTTACGCCAACAGGCACAAAGAGATGGCACTACTCAGATTTTTTTTTTATTGCTGACGTTGTAGGAAGCATGCCAGGTCCGGCTACGAAAACCCACGCTTTTTTACTGCGAGTTGCAATTGAAGGCGCCGATTTGTGCTTGTGAACTTCTCATAAATAATAGTAACAATGTTGTTTTTAAAACTAAAGATGACAGACAAATTATCCTCCAAGTTCAAACAGAAATCTGGACATTGGCAGCTAGTTTGGTCCTAGTTTCTTAGTGGTGAGTTGATAGTGACAACCCGTGTATGATTGAGCTGGGAAACATTTTTACTGACAGTACCGTGCCGGTGCTTTGCCGGGCATGGGTGAGCGTATGAGAAATCGTACTGGGGTAGTTGTCAACAGTGAGAGTACTCGTCGCAGCCTTAATTCAAAGAATACTCAAAGTTCTTCTAATTTTCATTTATATAAAATAAGACTAAAAGACTGTATGATGGTCAGTCAAATATTGGAGAAGCATGGGTCTGTCACAGAATCCTTCTTGGTTTACAAAGTACTTACTTGATAGGTTATGTTGGACCAGGATGCTGACCTCTTCTGCTGGTTTCTGGAGCTCAATAGCAGCTCTCTCAGCCGTAGCCGTTCTCAGATTAACGCCATTGATCTGCAAATGAGATCATTCAGAAATAAAGTTAACATATATATTCTTTTTTAAAGTGACTCGGTAACATTGTCTCAGATTCTGAAACAAAATCCTGGACTTAGCTCATGCTGCGATGATAACTATCAACCTTTAGGTCATTCAGGAATCCCATGACTTTTACAAGCCGATCGCCTGTCTGATTATCAAGATATTTATGATTGGAAATAGAAATTTAAAAAATTTGTTTTCCTAACGGTTTTGACAACACTACAGTCTGTTGGGGAAGCGCAATTTGTTTAAGGGCTTCAATATTCCACCATATCACAGACACTGATAACATGTAGGGCCATGCATCTCAGATTTGTAAACTGGAAACATTGTTAAACAATCCCTTTAAAATTTACAAGAAAACTATCACTCCCGATTTATTTCACTTACCTCTATAATCTGATCCCCAATCAAAAGCCCTTCCGACTTCGCAGCGGGACTCTTTGGTTCTATTTCGGCGACAAAGATGCCCACTTTGTTTCCTCCGTACATCCGTATCCCCAGGCTTCCCCCGCCCTTTCCCCCGGCGAGAAAGACAAACCGAGGCTCACTCAACATTACAGATGACGAGGAAGAGAGGATACTGGAAGAAAGAAAGAAAGATAAACAGTATTATGATGTTGATGATGATGATGATGACAGTCACAATGATAAGAACTATCCGTACACTTTCTACAGACTTCGTACAAAAGACGGAAATGATAATGAAATGGTAGTAGTGATGATGATGATGATGATGATGGAAGATGATGATGATAAAGATGAAGATGATGATGAAGAAGAAGAAGATGATGATGATGATGATGATGATGATGATGATGATGATGATGATGATGATGACAGTCACAATGATAATAACTACCCCTAGTTCCTACAGACTTCGTACAGAAGACAGTAATGAAATAGTAGTGACGATGATGATGATGATGACGACGAGATGAAGATAATGAGGATAATAATGAGGATAATAATTATGACGACAATGATAATAATACTCTTAATCATAATAATCACTAGACTAACTCATTGCTGATTTGATTTTGTTTTTGTATTTGATTGAGATAGAGTGAAACATTCAGATCTAATATCATTGTAGAAGGCGTAAGGTACAATTGATCCCAGTTCTGATTCACTGCAAAACAAAACATCTCACATGACACGGATACTTCATACAAGAGTTTGCCAATGGGACACAACATGAAATACTACTGCCTGTCCAGCTCAGCTAGTTTAGCAAACAAAAAAAATGGACTCAAAGCTCATCAACTGGAAATACTTCAGAGGTCAACCTATAACATTGGCTGATTTTTATATGGTCATTTCATGCCCAGTGTAACATCAGGGCCTTGTTGCATAAAACGTACCATTGATGGCAACTACCATGGTAACAGGGCTCAACAGCCAATCAAAGTCAAGGTTTCCATGGTAGTTACCATTGATGGTATGTTTTGTGCAACAGGGCCCGGAGTTTGAAGAAAAATAACAGCAATAGCAAAACAAGCATCTAGTGTGATACCCCCAAAGACACTGCTATGTATAAAAGTAGATGTACTGTATTATGTCCAGTGATCGAGTCACCACCAAACGGAAATAACATCAATCCAACACAGAAGTTATTCCCCTTACCATAAACACCAAGCAGACTCCAAAAAGATGAAATATGACTGTATTTATTCTCACATCATGAAAGCAGAACTTACAGGACTTATGAAATTTTGTAACTTCGCATGAAATGATGTCGACAGTGCAGCTTTCTTCAGAATCGGAAGCGGTACTTTTTTTTTTATCCAAAGAAGAAGAAAGTCATACTAAAGTTGTTGTCTTGTAAATGGCAAGAATAATTGAGCCCTCCCGTCCCCCCAAAAGAATATATGCATATAAATTTATCAATGCTTGTGAGCAAAACAAGATTTTAAAATCTGAAAGATTCTTAACTATCACTGTTTACAATTTAGATGTACAATCAAATGTTCTATGAAGATATAGTAGGGAAGAAAAAAAAATTGATCATGGCTTTAACATATGTATTGCTAAATTTGTTTGGAGTATGTTTGGAGTATGTTTGCAGACCGGAATAAGGGAACTATACGGACAACCGGTAGAATGAAGAACCAGTAGAAGGCAACTTGATAATAATAATAATAGGCATTTCTAGCTATTACAGCACTCCAGCATTTCAAGGAATTAATTCCTGCCAGGTGCCCATTTACCTCACCTGGGTCGAGTGTGGCAAATGAAGATTAATGCCTTACCTCTGTGTTCTGCTAGCCCTTGGGGTAGGAGGAGTGATGGTAGGGGTTGGTGAGTTGGTCCTGGTGCTGGTCTGGGAGGCGATGGGGGTGGACTGAGTGCTGGAACACATCGAGCTCCTATGGTCATCTTCCATTTCTAGATAGGGAGAAAGTGTTTGGAGGATTGAGGGTTATTTGAGAACCGGCATGTAGCAAGTGGAAACATGGAGATTCCACACACCTGTCTTTACCTGTACACTAGTTTGGCCAGGAGGGATTAGACCTCCCTGCATGGTCACTGGCAGGTGCTTATCTCATCAAATCAGCTCTCAATAAACATAAGAAAAAGGGGACCATGGGGGATCACGAGTAACACAGGCATTGTTGGCTATATAGAGGGCGCAATTAGCTACAAGTAGTGCAGTCCTGCTTTAAGCCTCAAGATGGTTTACATACATGAACATGAGGAGGCGGTGTGGCGCAATTGGATCATCGTCTGGCTCTCGGGGCTTTCGTCATGCACGTGGGTTCAAGTCCCGCGCTGAGCAGACAATAATGCAAAAATGATTGCGGGGAAGCACGCCCCTCCCCTCTGTTCTTGATGGAGGTTCAAGGGAAAACAATCCATTCCTTGGACTAAAACGTTAACTGAGGCCCCCTTTGAAGGAGAGACACACCCTATATGCACATTAATACGTTACACTTCTTGCAAAGAGTAGGGTGTAAGCCCGGTGTACAAAACTGGTAATCTTTTGACAGATCTTCATGAAAGGCTTCATAGTGCTTTGGAGATCAACAATAGACAGAGAAGATGATTTATGATATATACTTGCTTCTATACTTGCACTGAGTGTTAAAAGAGGCAATAGAGGTAATAATTAATAAAACTAGATGGAATTTTGACTGCGCGCAGTCGAAAATGATGCCTCCGCCATAGAGCAATTTAAACAAGTTTGGAGTTTAAATCTCCAGTGGTTCTTGAGATATCATGATAACAATCTCAATGTATGGAATTTCATAAGTTGACCTCTGTGACCCTTGACCTTTGACCTACGTGCTCCAAAATCTAATCAGATTGTCTTCCTATGGTGATAGACACTATCATTAAGTTTGAAGTTTAAATCTCCAGTGGTTCTTGAGATATTATGATATGGTGATACATACTATCATTAAGTTTGAAGTGAAAATTCTCCAGTGGTTCTTGAGATATCGCGATAACGATCTCAATGTATGGAATTTCATAAGTTGACCTCTGTGACCCTTGATCTTTGACCTACGTGCTCCAAAATCTAATCAGATTGTCTTCCTATGGTGATACACACTATCATTAAGTTTGAAGTTTAAATCTCCAGTGGTTCTTGAGATATTATGATATGGTGATACATACTATCATTAAGTTTGAAGTGAAAATTCTCCAGTGGTTCTTGAGATATCGCGATAACGATCTCAATGTATGGAATTTCATAAGTTGACCTCTGTGACCCTTGACCTTTGACCTACGTGCTCCAAAATCTAATCAGATTGTCTTCCTATGGTGATACACACTATCATTAAGTTTGAAGTTTAAATATCCAGCGGTTCTTGAGATATTATGATAACAATCTCAATGTATGGAATTTCATAAGTTGACCTCTGTGACCCTTGACCTTTGACCTACGTGCTACAAAATCTAATCAGATCGTCTTCCTATGGTGATACATACTATCCTTAAGTTTGAAGTTTTTACATCTCCAGTGGTTCTTGAGATATCATGATAACAATCTCAATGTATGGAATTTCATAAGTTGACCTCTATGACCCTTGACCTTTGACCTACGTGCTCCAAAATGTAATCAGATCGTCTTCCTATGGTGATACATACTATCCTTAAGTTTGAAGTTTAAATCTCAAATGGTTCTTGAGATATCGCGCTAACAAACTCGATACAAGGAATTTCATAAGTTGACCTCTGTGACCTGTGACCTTTGACTTACGTACTCCAAAATCTAATCAGATCGTCTTCCTATGGTGATAAATACTATTCCCGAGTCTTAAGTTTAAATCTTAAATGGTTCTTGAGATATTGTGATAACGGTCAAACGGGACGGACGGACGTACGGACGTACGGACGGACAACCCGAAAACATGATGCCTCCGGCACCACCTTCGGTGGCGGAGGCACAAAAAATAAGAATTGTGGACTTACTGCTCCTGTTGTATTGCACCTTGATACAGATGCTGTTTCCGGCCCTCGTTAAGATCTGCACAGCATTGTCGTAGGTAGCACGACGAAGATTGATTCCATTTACCTGTAAGGGTGGCAAAATAGAGAGGATGATATACCTAGGTCCCATTTTACAAAGCCTTTTTACAATGACAAGTGACAAAAATCAGTGACAAATCTGCTGATAACCAATCAGAAGAAAGGATTTCACTAGCTTATAACAAAAACTGTCATTTGACAAGTTTTGTGAAATGGGGCCCTGATGTATCTATTAATTGTTACGAATGTCATGAATACTAACATTGAAGCACAGAGGCAGGCTGATCAAAAATTTGTCATGTTGTGGTATATGGGGGCCTGTCTGGGATTAAGTTACTTATTTTGATGTGTGGGAGACTGATTTTTTCACCAAGAAAAATTATCATATTGTGATACTATTCAGCAATGTTATGCCTACATCTACTTGAACACGAGTCACAAATTTATGATTCGACTTTGAACACAAACTTCTAAAATCTTCCAAGGGAGCTTCGCAAATGAAGTTTATATACTTGTACTTGATACTAGGTGATACTCAATGAGTATTTAATTTCTTTGTCATTAAAAATAGCTGTTGCAACAAGTATGAATAGACTGTTGAGTATCCCGTAAAATCTGAATTAATGGACTATCCTTCATAGAACCCCCCTTCTCCTCCCCCTCCTCCCCCAGCCTACTGCATACCTCTAGTATTTGATCTCCATACTTGAGTCCACCTCTATCTGCAAGACTGCCCTCTGTGACGGTATTCACAAAGATTCCTCCGGCTTCCTTAATGCTGAAGCCTAGCCCCGGCTCCAACGTCTTCTCGATCTCGATCAGACGAGTATCGTTAGGTCCACTGCAAAAACAAAAGGAGGAATTAATCATAAATTATTATGGATCTATACAGTGCGTCCCAGAAAAAAATAAACCGAGAATTATCGATGTTTTATCATAACTTAATCACAATTATAATTAATAAATGAAACAACATCGATGATTCTCGGTTTAGTTTTTTCTGGGACGCACTGTATAGCACTTAGTATGAAAGATCGTCTCTAAGTGCTTTACAGATATTATTATTATTACCGGTACCTCTGTCATCGGATTCATTGATGCACAGAGTGCTCCATCTCCACTCCCTGAGGAGTATTCCTTTCATATGGTTACCATGAGGACATATGGGCAATTAATCTTTTGAAGACAAAAAAATTGTTAACCTACCAGGTTCCCATTTCTCTCCTGGGTATGGAGTGGCGAATGTAGATTTATGCCTTGCCAAGTACATTAGAACCCATGACCTTTGAATTTCCAGTCTAGTTCTCAAACCCTCTTCAAGTTAATTATGTTTGTTAATCTTAAAGTTTTTACGAACATTGGAAATTCAAGGCCTTGCATTACACGGGTAAACAATGACAGAGAATAGGATTTTTTTTTAATATAAGCAAAATAAAATGGTACTCATTATCAAAAGTGTATTCACTTTAGCCCAGAACAAAGTCCTGACTAATTGTGGACTTAGTGCGTTGATATATCAACCGCTATCTGCCAAACTCTTCATCATGTGAAAAAATAATGAAATTTCTAAATTAAATGAACAGTAGTCATGACATTACAAAATAAATTTCTCTTTTTCATTCCATGAAGGGATTAATTTCATTCAGTCACAGAATCATAGAAATTTGTCCCGAAAAAAAAGGAGCTTGCAGTTGGTACTCCATGATCAGCGTACCGAGTTAATCAAGCTTAAACTTTAAAGGGATCCGGTAACTTTGTCTCAGATTCTGAAACAAATCCTGAATTTAGCTCATGCTGCAACAATAATTATAAACCTTTAGGTCAGTCAGGAACCCATGACTTTTACAAGCTGATCGCCTGTCTGATTATCAAGATATTTATGATTGGAAATCGAATCCAAATTTTGCGTTTTCCTAACGGTTTTCATAACACAACAGTCTATAAGGGAAAACGAGTATGGTAAAAACCGGTCACTCAAAGATTTTTAGTTTTTTGAAGCACTTCTTGATCATTTTGAAGCGTGATTTTTATAGGGCTTCAATGTTACACCATATCACAGACACTGATAACACATAGGGCCGTGCATCTCAGATTTAACATTGTTAAACAATGCCTTTAATAGTCCATCCACTTCATGAATACAAACCACCGACTCTTCATAAGGACTTACCCTTGACTTGTGACAGTGACACTGGCTTCTACCGAGACGGCAGGAGAGAGGTAAGGAGAGTCATCGATCACACTTGGTGATGTTGGGCTGCTGTGTCCAGAATTGATAGAAGCTAAAAAACAAAAGAGAGACAAAGAATTCAAGGATTGCATTCGAGGGCTGCTTTTGCTTGATCGATAAAGAAATACTTGGCACCTCCACAAACATCTTAAGGGCTCCAAACCCATTTTTTCTTACAGGTGTCGCGTCCTATATAATTTACACAGAAGAATGTTGAAAATGATTATTTTACTTAATAATGACAAAATCACGATGTTTGAAGAAAATTTAGGCATGGTGTGGCAAACCCATGTAAAATATCTTTTGCAACAAATTAAATGAAGAGAATAATGCCCCCCAGATGAGGGTAATGGGAGATGTCTTACCAATATCTGAGGAGCTGGAAGGTCCAGGACTAGGGCGACTGGGATAGCAGGGAAACTGAATCCTGGTGAACTTGTTAGGCAGAGACGCCGTGCTGTAATCGTGCTGGTGTCCTCTCCCGCTCCCAGGCAACGATGTCCTCGAGAGGTTGATCGGCTCTCCGGGGTATTTCGGGAAGGGGTCGAAGTCAGGTAGGCCTGGTGATGGTGGCTGCTGGCAGCTGGGGCTGTCCGGGTAGTAGCGGTTGTTGGTGATGGCCGACTGTAGCTTATAGCTGATGGCCTTGTAGCTGGGTACAGTGACAGGCTGGATAATCACCTGGGCTTCTGTTGGCATGGAGATGTGTGCCCAGGTGTTGTAGTGGCTATGAGTTCCCGACTCCGACGGGAGCGACGAGGTGTCCCAAGGTGGTACTGTCACTACTGGATCTGCTCGGACAATCTGGAGTGGTTCTGGTGGCCTTTGGCTAGAGTAGGATCCCGGAGATGTGGCGTGAGTGGGAGGGTCCACTCGGGGCACTATTGCACTTTCACTGGGTAAATATTTGATTTGCGACACGGATGTAACCGAGACAGGACGATAGGCCACAGCCTGCGTGACATCTTTGGTCACGGAAACGTACGATTTGGTGTTTTCGTGAGGAGAGTCAAAGAGGAAGAAGCCATTCTGCTTTGGCGAGTCCCTGCCATTGCCATTGCGATTGATATTATTCATAGGACTTGAGGGGTTGATGGGTGAAACCTTGACAGTCGGGCTTTGCGCTGTATGGAGTGACCCCTGACTTTTTCCGTCTGACCCTGCAGTTGATGACTGCCGCCTAGATTCTGATCCGTTTGAGGATGCTGACGATGGCTCCACATGTCTCAACGAGGCTTTGAATGATGATGTACGACTGGGTGGAGTTGGCTTAACAATCGCTTCAATATTATCATTCCTTGGGGTCATGTCTGGAATTGGTCCCCTTCTACGCTTTTTACGTCCCGGTTTGTGAGGATCAGGTGGCCCGTGAGATCGGGGCCAAGTACTGTGGTCCTTGACAAGAACTTGCTGTTTGGGGTGCTTCACAGGCACTGTTTTGCTTTCAGCATCTCCTGGGGAAACGTCATTGGATGCATGTTTCTGATCCCACTCATGAAAGTTATCCTCCCTGTCAAATGATGCATATTCCTCAGGCCTGAAATTGGCTTCCATGTCACGTCCACTGCTGCTAGACCAGCTTCGCGTGTGCCCAGAGAGTACCGACTGCTGCATATGAGGCGATGAGGCATGGAAGTCCCTCGGGGAACAATCCTGTGATGTAGGTCTCGATACTTGCACATTCCCATTTACATGACTATTACGTACACTTTCAATGTTGCAATCTTCCCAATGAGATTGGTTGGACTCGTAAGAAGGCTTGTTGTTGGGCACTCGTGCCGGATACGTGAAGCGGCTCGGCTCGCTCCACGGATTGAATTCCCTCTTGCGATTTAGGCTCTTACTGGCGTGTCGGTTGTGGATGCTTTCCCTGTGGGGACCAGTTCTAACAAAGTACTCTTGAGAAAAATCCCCATCGTGACTCTCACGATTCCCTTCCCGTGGACTCCCCCTCGACCCTGGAAGAGGTCGAAGGTCACCATTGGTGAGTGACTGTCCATCTTTCTTGACCTCATTTGCGTGAGCAACATCTCTCCGGCCACCATCCTGAGGTCTGTGTGCCGTTTCGTTTCCATGAGGACTATCGTTAAAAGAAATGAGGTTCCCATCACTACGGTAGTTCTCGTGACGCAGTACTGCACCCGGTGACGACGGTCTAACGTACTCTCCTACACTATGCCGCATATGATCATATTGTCCATTGGAATGACCGGGATGCGAAATAAACTCTAAATTCTCACGTCCAGAGTACGACTTTCTGCTCTCACGTTGCCCGAGCTCACTCCTCTTTAGCGAGTTCTGCGGATAATCCCCCACCGTCATTCTCTTGTCGCGCTTCGGGTCCAGGTTGTGCATTTGTTCCTTGACAGAATTTTGCCTGGACAATGCCAGTGGAGTCTGTTCACCGCTGTTGGCCGACTCATGGCTGCTCTCCCTCGAATGCATGCTCTCCCTGCGCTGGACAAACGCCCTCAGGGCTTGCTTGACATTCTCGTCCTTGGCGCTTGGAGGCTGCTGGAGATTGCCATTCCTGTCCGACTTCTGTCCTGCGAGCTCCATCGGGGGTAGGTATTGGGTCAGGCTGGACTTGGAGGAGGACGTGTCATGGCTCTGGATGGACTCTACTGTCGGGCTGGTGCTGGATGACATGGACATCGCCGTTACCCTGACGATGTTCAGCATCACTGACTCGCTGGTCGAGGATAGCATCTCTTCGACTTCAGTGACAGACTTGTTTTCCACAAGGTATCCATCAATCTAATCAAAGACAAAACAAATATAAACAGTTTGTAAATCTTCCTGCCTTTTCATTTAACACTAAAATGTTTAATAATTTAGGTCTTACAGAACTACATTATCATAGTTATCTCATATATAATGCACACAGCCTTAGTATGGAATGCATCTTTACACTTCATCACTTTCATTGGTTTGAATTTTGGAAAATGTTAAGATTCTGTTTTGCAAATCCATATCATACATAAATCAATGTCTCTAAGGTATGCCATTAAAAGTGCTACAGGAATAAACAAACTGGCTGCAACTAACAGCCAATATAAAGAACTCATATGTTCAAGGAACTCTTCCTATCAAATAGCCACTAAATACATGTCAACCAGGGATGAGAGATACTACACCTGGGGCTGTTTCACAAAGACTAAGATCGACTTTAAGTTGATTTTAACAATGGCAGACCGTTCATGCCACCGTTTGCTCTCATCATTATGATCTTTAGATAATACTTTTTCCTTTAATAATGAATTATCAAAAAAAATGTATATTCTGTAGATTTGTGACTATGATTTATGACCCATGCCAGTAAATGGTGAGAGCAAACAGTGGCATGAATGGCCTGCCATACATGTAGTTAAGTACAACTTAAAGTAGAGCTTAGTATTTGTGAAACACCCCCCTGTGGCAACTCTAAATGAAATGGCTTTAATAGTACAAGGACAAATATAACAGGCAAAGATTTGAACCCCCAACCTCTCAGAGTAAATGAACCACAACACCCCACTTCCTTTCCATGCAGCATCCTGTATACTCACATAGAGTATCCTGTCACCAGGCAGGAGACTGCCCTCTTTAGCTGCCGCAGAGCCAGGCACTATCCTACTGATGAAGATACCATTATCAAGGACAAGGCCATGCTCTTTCCCCCCGTAGAATAGCTTGACTGGATGATGACGAACATTAGAGGGCCTGCGTCGCTTCACAACCTAAGAGAAAGGAACAATGTCATTTATAATAATAATAATAATAGCTCACATTCATAATCCACATAATACTTTGTTTCTAGGCGCAGTACATATTATCTTCAAGTTTTGGGATTTATTTTCATATGATTATATGTTTTTAAAGACATGAGAGATTGTAATGATCAAGTTGACAGAAGACACAATGATCATTATAAATATATGTAATAAATAAAATACAAATTAAATTTCATTTTCACTAATGTCTCTTGAAATTTACAATTTAATCATATCATCCCAATACACATTAGTAAAACCGTAGTGAGTTGCATTTCCAATTGATAATGCAAAATAGGATTAATAAACACAATTTTTGGAACTTAGTTTTATATATGTGTAAGAAAAAGGGGACCATGGGGGACCAATGGTGACTGATTAGGCATTGTTTGCTATAAAGAGGGCGCAAGTAGTGCAGAGGGGCTTCAAAGACATGAGAGATTGTAATGTTTTCCCCTTGTTCTTCATGTCTACTCCACTTGTGTTATTCTCATGTTATATATTGATACATGTACATGTATTATATTTTTAACTTTTATATGTTGTTTTCCTTGCAAGTATTGAATAAAGTGAACTTGAACTTGAAGCAGGTTGTAGAACCAATTTTTTCAGATATTCTCTAAACATGTGATCAAGATGGAGGGACCTTGTCTACATATAGCTTTAGATTTTAAAAAAAGTGTAAATTAATAATTTTCTTATTGAAACATGTGAAACGTGATATAAAACGTGATATGAAAGTATGAAACGTGAGTGGTGTTCTCACCAGGTTAAGAACTCCTCGGTTGTTCTTGACGGCTTGCACTGCAATGCTACAATCTCCGCCGTTCGTCAAATCAACATTGTTCACTCTCACCACGCAGTCATTCACTCTGGGGAAATAAAGTAGATAAAAAACAGTAAGTCTTGGTGAATAAAAATAGTCATGTTTTCATTAAAAAACATTTGCCTTATATTTTGTACAAATAATGTCATAAATTTCCATTCTTCTCCTAAGCAAATTTTATACCTAGGCCTAAAATTCTTAGCATATACAAGTTTTGACACATCTCCCTTGTGAAAAAAAATACATTGCTTTATCAAAAACTAAGAAGACATATGTTTCTTTGTATCATTCTGCATAAATGATATTTTTTTCATAACACTAACAAACAAAGGAGTTGCCAATTTGTGAAGAATTATATTCAACCTTAGCATTGAAACCATATTGATTTTTCTAACTTATTTGTGGCTCTCATTCTCTGGTTTATATCCAACCTGTTATTTGGGGTGGGGTTCCCCTTTAAAAAACAAACCCATCTACCTCTCTGTATAATACACGTTGGTTTTCACAGCAATAAATGACCACCCCAAACCCCCGTCTGTTAAAGCTCATTTAGATATGCCACTGTAAAGCACCACAAAAAAACTTGCGTGTGTTAACAGAGCTCCTTGTTATAAGATACAGAGATGTGTCACGTATCACACTTTACGTTTACGTTTTTAAAAAAACGTAACAATTTTTCTGCGTCATGTCTGAACAAGGTCTTAGGGATAGGTTAAATGGTACAAAGAACGTACTTCAATCTCCCATCAGCAATGCTGCCCTTGTCAACCTTTGTGATGACGACGGAGCAATCATCAGGGAACTGGTGATCCTTGTTACAGTCTCCGATGTCGAAGCCTAGCATCGTCATATCACCATCATCCTGTGATGTAAAACGAAAAATAAGGGGGGAAAATTTTTCAGGCTGGAGAGCTGAGTATACTGATTACATGTAGAGGTAAACCATATCGTTGCCAAGAATCAGAACCCTTACTTTTTATTTTAAAGAGAAGGTTCAAGTTCAGGAAAGGTGAAAAATATTTGGAGCTTTTTCATTCTTCCTTTGTGGATGAGTGTCATATAAAAAATGTCCTCTGAATCATATATTCTTAACAGCATGGGGTCCTGCTACAGCTTTTAATAAAATAATCATATCAAAAAATTAATAATTGTAATTAAAGGGTCATTGTATATCAGTAGATCTTTTGCACTTGAATAGCTAATATTGAGCCCTCCTCAACAACTGGGGGGTGTTTCACAAAACTTGTCATCAGTGACAGAGCAGATTTGTCACTGATTTTTGTCATTTGTCATTGAAAAAGGGCTTTGTGAAACGGGTCCCTGGTCTTTAAAAGTTTTCTTAATATTTGATACCCTAATATTCTTTAATCCCTAAAAACAAGCTTGTTTCCAAACACCTGTTTCGTCAGAACAAATGTGTATAATTTTGGCAGGCTTCCATAAGAAATCATACCTAAGGGAGATAAACATATGTTTCTATATCATATAATTACTTGATGAACAAAGGAAGGTTCTGTTTATACCCCTTTAATACAATAATTATGACAATTTGGGGGTAACTTTGAATTTGAGAAGGCCATATACACTCTGGCCCCTGTTGGCGACAAACCCTGCATTTGGAGCTGATTATCTTGTTTTTATAACCCATGAATTAGTCTTTCATGAGTCACTTTGTGTGAATACTGATTTGTTTACCCATGAATATTTCAGGGATATGGGTGTGTCAATGCTTTATGATGCAGAAGAAAGGTTTGATGCCAATTGATGAATCTAATCTATAATTCTATAACTGTATTAAAAAAAGACAATGACAACGTTACTGAACTCCTTATCATAATCATAATTTTCATGGAACTTTAATTATAACAAAAAATATTTCGCTTTTATATAGCGCTTAATACACCGATGATGTCTGAAAGTGCTTTACAAATATATTATTACCCTAGTCATCGGATTCAGGCTTGCCCGCACACAATGTATGCACATTCTCCTGGGGAGAATTCCAGCCAGGCATGATCTCAGCAAACTACATTTATGTTCGCATCCTACCGGTTTTGCCAAAGGCACTAGTGCTGGGCTGGGATTTGAACCCGGTGCCTTGTGATCTGCAGTCGGGTGACTTATCCCCTAAACCACAACACCTCTGCAATTGATAACTACAGTCAAACCTGCTTTAGTGACCACCTGTCTACAAAGACCACCTCTCGACAACAAGCACATTTTTTGTTTCCCTTAAAAATGGTTTCTCATTGAAACATGTACTAAAGGAACCTGTCCACAAAGACCACTTTTTGCGTTTCCCTTGGGCGGTCGCTATAGACCGGTTTGACTGTATTGATATTAAATTCTGACCATACCTTGACTGTTTCTAACTCCACCATCTCCATCTGCCATTCCTGTGAGTCGGCATCAATGGCTGAGTCTCGGCTCCGAGGAGCAATCAGCTGCCTCATCCTCGCTTCTTTCTCTTCCTGCTGGATCACGTTTTGTCTGCAGAGATCAAAATCAAATCATATTAAATTATATCAGTCTTATCAGATCACACTAGGTTTGCAAGATAACATGTAATTTTAGTAAATGCAGTACCGTATTGTAAAATTCTTGTCAAGGATTTTCCGTATGTACACAACAAAAGTTCTCACTTATATATCTAATAAATTAAGTAATGTGCTATATAAATTTAACATATTATTATCATTACGTGAGAGCACTTTTGGGCTCCCAGATTTGACAACAAAAAGCCACTTGCATCAACAACATTTTCTCAGCTCTGCAGTCAAAAATATGAACAAAGATTCTACATTGAGGAATTGTTACAATCTCAACAACCTTCATGTATCAACTAAGTAACAAGCATAAATAGAGTGAAAACACAGATGAAGTCACCATGCCTATTAAAGTATGAAATAAAGGACTCCATATTTAAGCTCACTTTGAAGGGTTGACCCAAAAAAATCCTTCAGCAGCTCACTTATCTAATATTATAGAGGGATCGGCGAACTTTGAATCGAGATAGAGCTTCTTTTTCACAAAGCAGACATCACTGAATATAGACATGACTGGACTCTTCCTTTAATTCTGTCCCTGCCTAGGGAGATAAATGACCTTTAAATTACATCACTTTAATGGTTTGCTCATTAGTACATACAAATACAGATGAGGGCAGTGCAATGTCAGACAATTAAAGGCTGGCTAGACAAGTTTCTTTAAAATAAATATTGACGCAGCCTATATGTCATCACAAATTTAATGATTCAGGAACTTGGCAGAACAAAAGGCAGTCTCTTTAATGTAAACAAAGATTTTGCTCACAAGAGATCTTAAAAAAAATATACATCAGAAAATGTTGGACGTTGGAAGCAGGTGCTTGTGAACAAAAGTTTTTTTTTATTTCAAATATTTTTTCCTTAGTTCATTTTAATTACTACCAATTTGAGATTTGCATAGACTTAGTGATCTCATATTTCAAACTTTCATAAATTTCTTACTATTGGTCCAATTCATTTCAAACTTTGCTATACTTTTTCTGTTTTCTGCTTTCATACAAATCAACTTATTACAAGGGTAAGATTTCCCTTTAACTCTCCACAGCTGGTAAACTTTAATCCTTCTCTCTAATGAGAATAGACCTATCAATCATTGCCTACAAGGACCCTTCCATTGCAAATTAGCATGCTGGTATTGTCCTTACACTAATGCCCTTGTATTATAGAATTATGTCTTGTAATCACCCACCAACACACAGTACGGGTACAACCCCTAAACTTGATTGAGACTGCAAGAACTGGGGGGTATTTCACAAGGACCCTTAGTTGAACTTATCTTTAAGTTGGACTTAACAATTATGGAAAGCCTGAGCATCTATGAAAATATTTTGTAAAAGTTATATTAAAAGGCATTATATGTTGATTCAAATCATCCATATTTTCTATTATCAAGGAAATTTCATGTTCTTGATGTGGAATTTATAAAAAGTCTAAAATACTTGGATTTTCGCTTTTGAATATACTTATTTTAAGGCTACAAATGGCTCTCCATAATGTTCAAGTCCAACTTAGAGTTAAGTTCGACTTAAGATCTTTGTGAAACACCCCCCTGCTCATGAACTCTAGGGCAACTGCACAGCTGAGAAATCGTCAGTTTGGAGCCAATAAGGCATTAACTCATTTACTTTACCCCAGACTTGTACATGTAATACCTTTACCCTTTCAACAACAAAAATGCGGGGGATAAATTTAATGCATACCTGTGCCATTTGGAACGTATCTTTGCATGACTAATCCTTCATGGTTTTTTGAAGATGTTTGACCCAAAGCATTATTTTTCCAAAAATTGATATAAACCAGAGGTTGTCTAAGAAAAAAATTGTCCCCATGCCTTTGAATTGTACACACTGCCTCGCATTGACAGTAGAGGGCTCTAAATTCAACAAGCGTCATTTGCTGTTTTCCAAGATTTTGCTTATACTCGCTTTTCCGAAGTTGTGTCTGACTGTTTTTTGTGAAACACCCCCTGATCTCAAATATATTACTTACTTGACCTCGTTGAGTTCTTTTGTGACCTCGTTCTTCTTGCGCTCGACATCGTCCGTCTTGCGCAGCGCTTCTGCGTAGTTACTGACTGCACGGTCCCGCTCCCGGCGGAGTTTGTCGCAGAGGGCGCGTATGCTCTCCCTCTCTGCCACAATCTTGTCTCTCTCCATGAAAGCCCAATCTCGTAACCTCTTGGCATTCTCGGACTCCTGGAAAACAGAGAGATTTTATTGCAAGAAAAGTCAGCTTATCTAGCAATGATGGCAATGTCGCATAAATCAACATTAAAGGCATCGTTTAACAATGTTAAATCTGAGATGCATGGCCCTATGTGTTATCAGTGTCTATGATAAGGTGTAATATTGAAGCCCTAAAAAAATTGCACTTCGAAATGATCATGAAGTGCTTCAACAAAGTAAAATCTTTGAGTGACCAGTTTTACCATACTCATTTTCCCCCAAAAGACTGTTGTGTATAAAAACTGTTTTTTTAAACAAATTTTTAAAAAAATCTTTGAGTGACCAGTTTTACCATACTCATTTTCCCCCAAAAGACTGTTGTGTTATAAAAACTGTTTTTTTAAACAAATTTTTTAAAATGAATTTCCCATCATAAATATCCTGATAATCAGACAGGCGATCGGCTTGTAAAAGTCATGAAATTCATGACTGAACTAAGGGTTTATTATTACTATTGCAGCATGAGCTAAATCCAGGATTTTGTTTCAGAATCTGCTCAGGCAATGTTACCGACAGCCTTTTCACACACAGCTAAAATTCATCGTATCTAGAGCTGATTAGTTTAAAGATGTTTAACTCAACAGTTTTAAACATCTTTAAAGAAAATTTTCCCTGTGTGAACATTGTTTATACAATGTTTGGATTGATACGAAGTCGCGATTCATATACGCCCCTCAAAGCAGGCTGCAGATACGAAGTTCGTATCTAGAGAGCTTGACAGGATTGACTGTACATTCAAATAACAATAATTAGGGCTGTGCACAACAGTGTAATGAGGTACCCGAGTACACTCCCAGGCTCACAGGCGAATACTCGAATATTCGGACGCCATGTTTTTTTATAATTTTTTGGATTTTTTTTTGAATTTTTTGAATTTTTTTGATTTTTTTTGATTTTTTTTTAATTTTTTGATTTTTGGATTTTTTTCCTTTTTTCTTTTTTTGCCACTACCATACCACCGGCAGTTTCTCAGGTCCCTCGCGCAGCTCACTGAAAACGCATGCAACTTTACTTTGAGTTGCAGTTGAAGGCGCCGATTTAATAAGAATAATAACAGTAAACAATGCTGTTTTAAAAACCAAAGATGGCAGAATAATCCATTTTCCTCCAAGTCCAAACAGAAATCTGGACATTTGGTCCCAGTTTCTGAAAGGTGAGTTTGACAGTGCTTGAGTTGGGAAACATTTTTACCGACGGTACCATGCCAGCGGACGCTGCTCTCCCTGGCAAGGGTGAGCGTGGGCCTGGACATTTTTTTTTTTTTTTTTTTTTTTTTTTTTAATTTTTTTTTTTTTGCGGCCGAATATTCGGGTACAAGAAATCGTACCCGAGTAGTTGTCAACCGTGCGGGTACTCGAGCATTCGACTACCCGTCGCAGCCTTAACAATAATAGTATATAATATAATTAATTTACATCAAGAGTGACAACTTAATACACACAAAATAAAATATTTAAAAAAATGCATAATTGAAAGCTTGAAAGTATGGAGGTAAGTAAAAATAATCAAGATAAATGCAGAGGCCAACTATCATAAGCAAGGAAGCTTGATTCGATATCAAAAGCTCTTTTTTGTGTGTACTGGAAAACAATTTTATCATGTATACAAATGTCCTTTTCAATTTAATTCACTCTAAATACAAACAGTTTCCAAAATGAAATGTCTACATTTTACCATTTTATTACAGAGTTATCTCATTCCCATAGGCTGAGTATAGGAACAACCTGGTTTCCCGTAGCCAATGATTAAAAGGAACGTACCGATCATACTTTGAGATTCCAAGGGAAGAAGAATATTAGCATTAAACATTTCACTGCAAATGACAAGTTGTAGGAAATTATGCTCTTACCTGTACTGATTCCTTATGTTCTCTGGTCAAGGAATCCACCTTCCTTCTCAAAGACTCCACTTCCTTGTTGACTTCTTTGTACTCATGGTTGGTCATCTCCTGCTCCTGTCTGGCCTTGTACCTCTCCTGGTTGACCTCTTCCAGCTGGTCCAACGCTTCCTTCCGCTCATGACGCGCTACCTGAAGCTCCTCTTCATACTTTCTGAGTTCATGAAGGATACCCTCGCGTTCCTTCTTAGCCATCATCGTGTTGTTGATCATGACCCGGTAGCGTTCCGACAGGTCGCTGATCTTCTTTTCCGACTGGTCCTGCTCGCGCAACGTGTCAACGAGCTTCTGATGCAGGTGGCTGTAGTCGTTCTGCATGGTGGCAAGTTTTTCTTCGGCGGTCCTTCGCTTGGCAGATTCGTGCTGCGCTTCGTCCTGGAGCTTTTCAATCTCCTTGTGGACTTCGTCGCGCTCGCTCATGACCAGACGGTGCTCCCGTACGGCCTGATCACGTTCTATCTGTGTCTTTTTGATGGCTTGTTTCAGGAGCCTGTTTTCCTGCTGGGCTTTGAACTCCTGCTTCCGGAGTTCCTCCATCTCCCGACGAGCTTTCTCATACTCCCTTATTGCACCTGTGCACTGCTGTTTCAGTGCATTCCGCTCCTTCACAGCCGTTTCCATCTGAACCTGTAACTGGCTCTTATCTTCCTGCAACCTTTCAATCTTGTTCACACCTGATCCATGAGAGCTCTTGACATCAGTATATCGCTTCTGAAGACTGTCATACTCATGTTTCAAGGTCTCATACCTATCCATAGCCATGTCGTACATTCTCTTCACATCCGGTTGTCCCATCACACTCACAAACTCCCGACTCTGGACTCTGAGTTCATTCAACTCTTTGGCATCGTCGTCATATCTCTGTCTTAGATCATTGATTTCCTGTTGCACTTGGGTTCGCTCGGACATCAGCTCGGCATACTCCTGCTGAAGCCCCTGAAGCTTCCCCCGCAGTTGATCTCCATTGCTCATAGCTGTCCGGTGCTGCTTGCAGTAGTAGTCAGCATCTTTTCTCGACTGGTCACACATCTTCAGTGTCTCTTCGTTCTGTCGCTTCAGGGTCTCCAGCTTGAGCATGGTATCATGGCACTTTGACTGCAGCTTCCGGTAGTCTCGATGGGGGACTCCCCTGTCGGCCACACCCCTCTCGGACAAGGACTGGTCCGAAGGACCCATGTTGACACCCTGTTTGTTGAAGACGAGTTCCTCATTGTCACTGTCGAGACTGCTTTGGACGGAGACACCATGTTCCTTGGAGCCTGTGCCAGGGATCATCCTCTGGATGAAGGCAGAGTTTGGACGTGGCATCAACATCCTAGGACCTGCATCAGAGGGAAGAGAGAAAAGGAGACTTTGTTTAGATTTCAGAATGCTGTCTTTCAGCAAGGATAACATAGATACATGCAGCAAGTAGAGACCAAATCAAAAAAAGAAGATAACATGTGATAGGAGAGGGGTAAGGAAATGTGATGATACTACAAATGTGGAGACAAAAAAATAAAAAGGTAGAAAGGTGAGTTAGGAGAAGATATCACGATTAGAAGTAGTATATAAGAGGCAGATGGACTAGAAGAACAGGGCAAATGAGAATCCATGTAAAAAGATGACGGAAGAAAAACATTAGGCCTGTCTTCATCAGCTCGGGTTGGGTAATTAGCCCGCTCTTTCTGGTTTGGGAAACTAGTCCGATCACGAAATATCGGGCTATTTGGCAGGTGAAGACCCAAATAGCAAGCTTGATGCTTGGGAAATCTTCACAAGATATCTTGGACTAGTTTGCAAAATAGCCCACGCTATTTGTCCAGTCCGTCTTCACCAGCACGAAGACTCACACGATGAGCGCACATTGAGCAAATTTCTCGAGCTTGAGTTTCGAGCTGATGAAGACGGATTTGTAACTTCGGGCTAATTTCCTGTATCAGAAAAAGCGGGCTATTTGGCCAACTCGAGCTGATGAGGACAGGCCTATTGAGTAAACTAGATGAAGCTACATCTCCTTAGCAACATCGTACAATGTTACTGTTTAATAAGTCTACCCCCTGCAGCCTGACGTTGCAATATAATTCTGTCATATGCACGAGTACACACCCAAGCTTCGTACCAGCTCGAATTGCTTATTGCCTTAATAGCTCCCGCATCCATCTCTCTCTCTCTTTCTCTCACTCTTTCTATCTCTTTTCTCCCTCTCTTTCTGTCCCTCTCTACATGTATTCCCCGTCTCTCCCTCTCTCCCCGCTTTCTCACCCACCCACTATTTATTTCTACATCTCTCTCCCCTCTCTCTTCTGTCCTTTATCTCTGCCTCTCATCTCTATTTCTCTCTCCCATCCTCTGTCCATTTTCCTCTTTGATCCCTCTCTCTATTTGTCTCTCTCTCCCCACTCCCTTCTCTCTCTTTCTTTTGTCTCAATTTTTTTTCTCTCTCTCTCTTTCTCTCTCTCTCTACATGTATTCCCTGTCTCTCTCTCTGCTTCCTCTCCCCCTCACTATTTATTTCTCCATCTCTCTCCCTTCTCTCTCCTGTCTGTATCACTCTCCCTCTCATCTCTATTTCTCTCTCCCATCCTTTTCCCCTCTTTAACCCCCTTCTCTCTCTCTCTCTCTCTCTCTATCTCTCTCTATCTGTCTCTCTTCCTCACCATTCCTCTCTATTTCTCTTCCCACACCCTCCTCTCTCTCTCTCTCTCTCTCTCTTCCTACTCTCTCTCTCTCTCTCTCTCTCACTAATCAAGGACGACATGAAGCAGTCACATTACAACTCCTATGGCAAATCCATGAGTATTAGCCACTAATGAATAAGCAGACATGCATGCAAACACATCACTGATCACCAATTATTAGACAACAATGCCCAATAATATGCTCAGCTCAGTACATCATATTAAACATTTTCAATATCAAATGTCTTTTTTCTCCTTTATGCTATGCACCTCAAAAAGAATGACAGATTGCTACATTTTGTTTTTGATCACCATTAAACAACAACGCCCAATGATAAGCTCAGCACATCATATTAAATATTTTTCAATATCGAATTTCTTTTTTCTCATTTATGCAATGCACCCCAGACAGAATGACAGATTGCTACGTTTTGTTTTCAATTAAAATATAATTGACTGCCTCTCTGTGTAATTATCTTGAACAATAATTATTCATCTGCTGAAAGTTCAAAGGGCATCAACTTCATACAGATTAAATCAATCATTAAAATCTATCATCAAAATATCATTGTTTTGATAAATTAGCAACATGGTCTTGGATCGAATACTATTATTCCATCTGCTTTAGGCCATAACAAAGCATTCAAGCATGCGAGGCATTTCTTCCTGCAAGGTTCATGATCACCTGGGTTGAGAGTAGCAAGTGTAGACTAATGTGTTACCAAAGGACTTTGGTGGTGATTAAATTGCAAACCTTGATATATTTGTATGAGAACTAGGGGTGTTTCACAAAGATCCTAAGTCGAACCTCTAAGTTGGACTTTAAAATTATGGAGAGCCATTTGTAGCCTTAAAATAAAATATATTCAAAAGCGAAGATTCAAGTATTTTAGACTTTTTTTTATAAATTCCACATCAAGAACATAAAATCTCCTTGATAATAGAAAATATAAATGATTTGTATCAACATTTTATGCCTTTTAAAATAACTTTTACAAAATATTTTCATAGATGCTAAATGCATTCCATAATTGTTAAGTCCAACTTAGAGATAAGTTCAACTAAGGATTTTTGTGAAACACCCCCTAGATGACACATCGTCTGTTGAGAGCCAGAAGGGCGTTAATTCCATGTAAAAAGAAACATGTGGGAACACCCTTTGGCTCTAAACAGACAATATTTCACTGACGTGTGCATGTTTTTATCTATATCAAAGACACTTCACTAATTTCTCCACGTCTCACTTCCTTCAAAGTTCGCAGTATGTATCTGTGGTTTGCTGAGTAACAGTTTGAGGGTGGCACATATAATGTGATTCAATGTTAGTCTCCAACAATGATATTCCTTTTTATTTTATTATCTCATACATGAATGTGTCTAATGAAAAGCAAAAGTATTATAATCATATACAAAATACCTATAACATATCTGATACACTCTAAAATTAGCAGACAAATCACCATTTTTAAAAGGCAAATGAATGACAATATTTTCAAAATAGTTAAATTATCATTCTCACAAGATTAATTCTAACTAAAAATGTTGAATGCAGCAATTTCAAAAGAGAAAATACAACATTTTGAGAACAATGAGACCCTTTTGCCCTTCTAAATGCTGATTAAAATTAGATGTGTACCAGTAGTCTAAATCAAGCACACATCTTAAATACCCCCATTTAAAAAAAAAACCTGTTTTGACTGAGAGGAAGTCTAGGTGTGCACTCATCGATTGATTTTAGGAGAGAGTGACTAATGAGTATGCAAAACATAAAATGCTAATCCCGTTTAGAGCCATGCAATCCCCTATCACAGTTGAGGCTTTCATGGCAGGTAATCAAGATGACGATGATGATCATCAGCTTATAAGCATGCAGACCAGACCGTGTATTAGGTTTTTGATGGTTATAATATCATGTGCAAGAGTATCCCTTTTTTTTCTTCAATTTTTGATGAATTTGATGATGCATTAGGGGAAAGAGAGGATGAGGTATAGCCTTCTTGTAATTGAATACTTAAGAAAAGATCTCCCTTATTCTTTAGTTACGTACGAATGTGGAAGAGCAAACAGCATTTGAAAGGAGAGGAATACCATATATTTCATTCTGGTCTAAATATCTTTCATATGCTTGTCAGACCTATTCTTTAATTAATTATATTAGCTTATTATTCATTAGGACTTAATGATAACGATGATGATAATAATAATGAGCCCAAAGTCTGTCAGACAATGTCTCTGCACAATCATTCATCTTAATTAATGCAATACAATAGGTGTCTGCTTCTTTTCTATTTAATATGACTCTAACTAAATCTTTCAATGTTTTTTTTTAAGAATGATGTATCATATACTCCTCAGCAAAGGTGTATTTTGCAAAACAAGTTCGATCAAACCTTTCCATTGAGGGCCTTTTTCAGGCCTCCAAAAGGAAAACAAATAAATAGTCCACCGTAGACAGGTGGCCTTCATAGACAGGTTCTAAAACACAAACTTCTTCCTAAAGGGAAATGAAATACATAGCCACTTTAGACGGATGGCCATAATAGAGAGGTGGCCACTATTAAAGACAGGTTTGACTTTGAACACAGAGACAACAACACCAACGACCATGAGGTATACCTACTTGGAACCTTGTCATTCTCTCCTGCCATCTCCAGAAAGTAGAACGGTTGATTCCGCCGAAGACAAAGTTTCATGAAATTAAGTCTCTTCCTTTGGCAAAACGTCAAGGAGGGGGTGTTTGAATACAACAACGATGCGATCCCTGCGTTCAAATTCTCATCCAATTTCAAACCTTGGATGAAAATGGGGCTGTTCTCATCAATTTCTTGGTTAAAGTTCACTTTGCCATTGGTACTGAAGTCTTCCTTTATTACGTTGTTGTTGACTGACAGTGTAGGGTTCTTTTTAGTGTTTCCTACACCAGACTTTTGACCATTCCTGCTGCCAATGTCAAAATGGCCATTTTGTAACCATTCACCTACTGTAGTGGTTGCATTGATATACACATTATTTCCATTCAGAATGCTGTATTCCTTGCGATGTCCGTTTGTGACATGAAGGTCCGGTCTAACTGGAGCGCCGTTCACATCAAATTTCCTCAAGTCTGATCCACAGTGACTATTGAGATGCTCTTTCCTTGGCTCAGGAGCAGCCGTATGATAACGGACACCATTCCTGTCCCTTTCGCAATCACCTTCGCAGTGACCATTCACGGGAAGTCGCCTCACGGCCGAATACCTTGCGTTGACACCGTTACTTTTATGACGGAAGACAAAATCAGCATCGGAATCGACGCCGGACGACCTGTCTGAATTCTGCCGACTTCTGTTAATATGTACGCTCTCATGTAGCCTCCAGGTGCCCATGAGCGGGATTCGTTTGTTGGGGTTATGCTGGACGGCTCCAAAATTTGGAATCACAATAGATTTTCCGATGCCCTCTCGAGGGGAGCTCTCACCGCTCGAAGACAGCTGGTCTGATTCTGAATCGAACATGTCTGCTCTGCGCTGGTAAACCAGCGTACTGTTCTCAAAAGCCATTTTCACAATGTTACCATCTATTGTGGCTTCAGGATATCTTTAGAATTAGGCAGACGTAGCTGAAAATTGCTCCTTGATTAGCTCCATAAGCAATGCATAGAATCAGTCACATATACCTCGCATGGAATGAATATAACTTCATTAGAGGTAAAATCATATCAACTTTGGCGACCCGAATACACTTTATTATTAATGGCATCAATGTCATTTATCTATTAGCTGCAACAATACAGCTGAGCGAATCACAATGCCCTAAATAGCTTCTCCCCTGAGGCAATCACAGCCTTGTGGTTCCTCGACGAAGACATCTGTATACATCTTCAAATTGAACTTCATTACGACTCTTCCACTGTTAACCCACCATCGTCAAGTCTGAGGTAATAAAGCTTGGGATCAAACAAATCTCCTGGAAGGCTGAAACCCCCCTCTCTCCCTTTCTGAATTCGACGACGAAGCAAGATGAAGTAAAATTGCTTTTGTTCCACAAATAGCACTCGGACATTCGCACCAATCCCCTAACTGTCATTTCAATTTAAAGAAGAAGGGGCCTCATTTGAAGTGACAAGTTCCTGCTGCAATCATTTCTATTGCCACCGCTTATTCCCTTGGCTGTTATCGTCACTTCAATCTATCTGCTGTTTTTATTGGCCTTCTGATTGGAAAAACAAGTTAACATTTTGCAGGCAAGATGAAAAAATGCTCATCTGTTTCTGATGCAAAACATCAGGCGACAAATTGATCACTTTCCAAAGTCGCGGAAAACATTTGTCCCTTCCGTACACAATTCAGACGGCGGCGGAGCAACTTAGAAATTAGGTGAGAAAAATTGATTACTTATTGAAGTCTGCTGACGTTGAACATCTCCCCGAGTTACGGAGGCCAATCGATTCCCTTCCATAACATTCTCAAAGTCAAAACATTACCTGAAGGTCATTCCGACCAGAGTACATTTCCTCCCTTTTTTTATCTGTCTTCAATGTACCGTGTCTTTTTCCAACCTTATCATAATCAATCCTGCTCGAAGTACACACATGCAGAGTTTCCAGACATCACACTTGGCCGAGATGAAATTTATTTTCCATGTGTCTGCCCCGATGACGAAAGAGAATGGATGGAAGTGCTCGGGTTCAAGTCGAGCTTTCACTGATTGCCCCGTCAGATGAAAAATTACATCCAGCAAGTCGCATGTAATCAAGTCTCCATTTCCTGAGTGGTTTTATGGCATGAAGAATTGTTCTCTATTCCCCCCTTACACCTGCCGAATCACAAAAATGATGGGAGAGAGTTAGAGATCGTTGATGTTATCCATGACGTCATCTCTCTTAGCCAGGCTGAAGACTGCGTTTCTTCGAAGATGGTGGGAATGTAAGACGAAGCGGTTCACCTGCAGCAGCGTGTCGGTGCAGGGAAATGTAAACTGGTTGGGAGAAGAAGGGCAGGTTAATTCCAGGAGCAATCAGTGAGCGAGGCACACCAGTCAGAGATAGCTCAGCAAATAATGAATGAATCCCAACCCAATCTACAGTAGCTCGGTGGATGATTGTCTAGCGTGCTTCAACAAGATTCTTCCTCGCATCAGACATAATTAGCTCCGGCGGGAGCCTGCCATGGAGGGTCTGCGGGGTAACGACGAGATGCACGGTGGACCCCCTCCACTCGTTACATAATACCCACGTAGGTGGGCGGTTAATATGCTTCACCGTCCACGGAGCATTTAACACTGATGAGAAAATTAGCAGTGGGGTTCCTTCTCCCTCCCCCTCGCTCTTATGCTCAACGCAGCGATGGTCACAAGCTGTTTGAACAATTAACAGAGGGTCTCTAATATCTTGTATAGCTCGTCATGAGCAAGCTTGGAAATGAAATTGGGACTATACGAGGCTCATTTAGCAATGTTCATTGGATTATTACTCCCCCTCCTATCCTTCAGTCTGTATCCCTTTCTCTATCACTCCCTCCGTTTAATCCCGTGTCCTCATTTCTCGACCTTCTTCCTTCTTCACGCCGCATCAACCACCGCCTCTATGAAATGCCACTTGACTCGGCGCAAATGTTCGATTCAGCGATCGCTCCAGTGGCTGTATATTTGCCGACGGTCGATGTCTGGAGTATACACAGAGAATCACAAAATAATTGCCAAGGTGATGTTTGATAAGAGACAAAGTTATACTTTGCACAGGTATCGTGCAGTGTCTATTTTAGGTGCCTTCGGATACAACATTGAACATCAAACATTGAGGGGGTACACAAGAGGACGAGGGTTACACGTACACCAAACAGCATGCATTCTCAAAAATTTAAGTATCTAAACCATCTAAACCAAGGAAAAGCAATTATTGCTGGAATACTTTCTCAAAATCATATCGTCTGCACGGAACAAGAAAGGTTTTACCTCATATCCTCAATTATTGCTGGAATACCTTGTGCCTTAAGCAATTAATTTCAAGTGGATTTGCCGCTTATAAATCTCATATTTATTATTATTATCATTATATCCTCCACATACAGCTTTCCAAACGAGCAGCATCAAGTATGCCAAATTAAACAAAGTAATAAAAGTGACATACTTTCATTTCCCTTCAAGTACCTGTATTAAAATTACATTGGTAAAACATGGCTATAAAATACTTCCCAATTATTGAGAAAAGATCAATTTGAATTGGATTTGTAGTTTTTCATGACATCAATTTATTTCAAGAAAGCAATTGCATTGCTTTAATCTTAGATAACTCCCCCTACCAATGATGTAAAAATAAGAATAATTTCAATAGCATATCACATGCACACAAATGTCCCAAAACATGATAGGCAAATCCTCTTGGAATTAACATGTTCATGCAATAGCAAGCACATACCGGGTACATAAAACTGTGCAAATGATATGAAGTTCATTAAGCACAAAATATACCCTTATCCAACACATCTCGACTTCATGTCCCATATCTCAAAAGAATGTAACCAGGTCACATCTTGCAATAAGACTAGCAACCCTACAATATTTGATTTAAAAGATAGTCTGGATGAGAACGAAAATATTTGATCTGAAAGATTATTCCGAGAAGAAAAAAGGAGAAACAAAATATCCTACCTGAAGCCATAATCCCTACATCAAAAGCATCCACCTCGAGTACTAAAACTTAATGTGAAGATATGTTACACTACTGATTCCTCGTTAGTCACTCAATACTTTATTCACGTTTATTCCTCCCTCAAACACGGGGGAAACATACATGTACATTTTAGATTTGACAGCGAAACAGCAATGCTCAAACTCAAAGTAAGTAGTCTAGGGTGTTAGCCACATTTCAATCTGAAATATGTCGTTGTACTTTTTCCCCTTTCATATCAAGCTTTATAGAAACACATCTTTTATAAATGCACATTCCTATCATATGCTCTAATGCTCTTACTAAGTTTTATATTTACACTCTAGGAAGTTTATCATAATTGAATAATTTTCATTAATTCAGTTCAGACAATTAGATCATAAAAAGTCTGTGATACAAGACCAATTTCCACAATAATAGGCTGATAGGACAGAAATGATTAGCGCATAATTCCTTATAATCCTTTGGGGCAGGGATATCACAATGGCATCGTCAAAAACTATTACATGGCCGCAGCCGAAGGACGTTGAAGCACTACATGGTCAGTGTAGGTCCATGGTCAGTTTTGGCACCCCCGCACCTGTGCCTCTCAGTCCCCAACCCTCTCCGAATGACGGATGGGTTAATATCAAAGAGGGCAGCACTGTTTTATAGGATCAGTGCCTTTTGTCGGGAGTATGAATCACCAGCTCCGATCAAAATCTGGGTTTTTGATCTCTCCAAACGCTTGTTTGTTTCGAACAACTGCTATTTTGGTACCCCCTGGTTGATGATTGTGCGTGGCAGTAGTTTGTAAAGGTTTCGGGATCCAGTTTCGTGCATATAATAATGGGGATAATCTGAAACAACTATCCCTTATGATTGTCAATTTTGCCGGATATTCACCCCCCCCCCCCCCCCCAAACAAAAAAAGAGTGAGGTTCCTGTGATTTCAGAATGTTTAACGAGAGAAATTAAAGATACTTCTTGGAATAGCATTTTGTGAAATTAAGTTTAACAAAAAAATGATTTGCAAAATATGATTATAGAAGATATTTGATTCTATGGGTAAGGAATGAAGAGATCTTTGTCTAAAAGTCTCCCCCCCCCCCAACAAAAAATACCTATCTCTTTCACATGTGTGGTTATAACTATATGTTCATATAGTTTGTGAAGTCATATATCAAATTAAAGTCTTTATGTTGCTACCCAATATAAATACTTACTATTTTTCTACTGTCATACAAAGTAATAAAAACAAATCAAATAGCTATCATTAGAAATCATCCTACGCTATTATGCTTTTGTCGAATTTAAAAATCATAATAATATTCTGATCTACACTCCACAATATATATCTGTTGAAGCATCAGTCTAACCTCTTGCAAATACTTATGACAAATGCAGTACATTGATTCAACAACATTTTTTGAGAAAGTATTCACAACTAAACCCATGTTGTTTTTCCCCACACTTGTGTATGCACGGCACACTTTCTAAGTACTGAATGCTTGCTTTGAATATCTTATGTTGTATTTCTGGGGTCCCTTAGAAGGCAATAGTAGAATTGTCGGGGGAAAATGTCACCGTCACAAACACCTTTTCTTTGCTCCACTTCCCTTAAAAATGCATGATGGTGACGTCTGCTTCCGAGCTCTCTTGCCCATAATGCATTTGTTAATGCCAGAGTACGACGACTGTTCATGTATGGAGCAAAATTGCAGCAAGACAACGATATAAAATCAGACAATTTGCCATCGTTATTTTGATCGTAACATTTTGTGTTTTGTGATGGAGAATATATTGTCTGTTGAAAGTAATCTTCATATCATCCCTTATGTTCTCAATTAAGGGTGAACCCAAAATTTAAAGGGTCCACTCCAAAAACAACTTACTTTCAAGAGAAGCAGAAAAATCAGTGACTTGCCAATTTTTCTTGTGATTTGTAAAGCTTTTCATGTCATTGAAAATTCATAACTTTTGTAGTTATCCAATTTTGCTCAACCTTTTTTTGATTGGTTTGTCTGATTGTTCTGCTTCTATTGAAAGTAAGTTATTTTTGGAGTGTACTTGCCCTTTAAGTATCTCTCTGTTTTTCCAATTCTTCATCCAATTCCCCCCCCCCCCTTGTATAATATCTTCCTTTATGTTCTAAACTTACTGGTGGACCTATCTTTAATAATTGCATTAAAGACATATAAAGTGTCATTGGGTTTTTCCAATTCATTATTATTGAATTACTCCAAGGAGTATCCCACTGTCTTCTTGGATTTCAGGCTCAAGTTTAGCGAAGGAAATCTCGGACACTTGACTTTGTCCTGGAACCACCAGTGCTTGCCCTCTACACGGGCGTGTTCACACACAGTTCATTCTTAACTAAAGTTAATCTTAACTAAAGTTATTCTTAGAAAATCTTTTTTGGGGGAGAATTCCGATGGGAATCTGAATTTAAAATGTATTACACAAAATTCTTACATGTAGCTATCTCAGAAAAGTGTAATTGTAAAGGGTTTATATGGAAGACTTCAGCTGCTGTTTTCATATTCACAGAAAATTATTGTTTCAAATTACCTCGGTAAAGTGCTATTTAAAAGATTTCTATAGGAAATTTCACCTGCTGAATTAAAAATGTGCACAAAAATGTTTGCTGAAAGTAATGTAAGAAAAGGGTGTATCAGAGATATTTTGAGGGAAAATTCAGCTGCAAATCTCACGAAACTGTTTTTAACTAGAGAGTTTCAGGGAAATTTCATCTGATGAATTTTAATAACCATTTCACTTTTTTTCCAGTAAAATCTAGTTCAACCATTCCCAATTGAACCAGATGCCTGCCAAGCACACACAAATTTGAAGATTTTCCCTTTTTGAAAGCAATCTATATAAAAGTAGTGTGAACTCATTTTGGAGATTACATTGCATTCCAAGAAAAAACGGAATTTCATAGATGAAGCCGACGTAACATGACATTACCACAAACTTGTGAAGCACAGGGACATTTCCTATTTCAGGTCAAGGGCTTCGTATTCCTACACTTTTCGGGGATAAGGGTATGGTTTTGGTTAACACTGCGCGCTTAGAATCAAGTGCCCTTTAGTCTGTTGAGAGCAAGATGGATGCTAACTCTGTGTAGAGGTAAATGAGGTGACGTCCTTCTACCTCTCAACGGACAGTGTCAGAGTGGACTATGCTTTATTGTAAAAAAATCTACCAGTCTGCTGAAATTCTGTGAAATCTGGTCACAAAGACTAAGATCGACTTTAAGTTTGACTTAACTATGGCAGGCCATTCATGCCACTGCTCATCGTTTACTTGCATCAGTCTCTCAAGGGATGTACAAATCTTGGTCACATATCTACAGAATTTACATTTTTTGATAGTTCATTATTAAAGGTAAAGACCAGTATTGGAAACGCCCCCAATTTCAAAAAATGAAATGGAAGCTCTCATTACCAATCATGTGAAAGAATATGTTTTGACTAATACATGATGATAAAAAATTAGCCGGGAAACCGCCTACTAATTCATATATTTGGTAAATTTGTTTCTCTCATGGTCTGTGAGAGATATAGGGTAGTCCCATATACATCTTTCTGTGTATAGTGCTTGTAACTTTACGAAGAATGGGCCAAATTTCTTATCATTTTGATGATTCCAGAACCTTGCAGATGCTAGATGCTAGATGATCAACCTTTTCTGATCGATTCCACAACGTTTCTTTCACAATGCAATCGCATGACCATAACTGGTCTTTACCTTTAAATGAAATTTTCATCTAAAGATCATAATGTTGAGAGCAACCAGTGGCATGAATGGCCTGATATAGTTAAGTCCAACTTAAAGTCGATCTTAGTCTTTGTGAAACCCTCCCTGAAGCATACTGTCTGTTGATAGAAAGAGGGTCATAAACTCCGAGTTAGAGGATGGGATTTAATGCCCTTCTGGCTCTCAGCAGACAATACAATATAACATGCAATGGGCTTAGTGCAACAAAATTAGACTGCAATGTGAAAATACTGGCTGAAAAAGAGCAAAGCACGTGATTCCAAAGAATCTTAAGAAATCAACTTTTAAGGGCATCTTCATTTACTCCATTGTACAGTTGTACTACCTGTTAAAATCATGTTCTGATCGTATACCAATACGTTATTGTAATAATTGCACAGTTCAAAATGTGATGGACAAGACCATTGAAAATGACCAAGGTTGATTTCTTTTTTGAAACTCCTGTGATCGTGTTTACGAAACCTATGCTACACTCTTGATATTCTGCTTTTAATAGTTTTAGCGGAGAGAGCCAGAAGGACGCTATACGTTAAAACAGAGTTAAAACTGCCCCTCTGTGTTCACTACAACTTTCAAAACGTCATCTACAAGACTTGCTTCTCTGCAGATAAATTCATCATCTTATTATTATTATTTAACACACTACCACCGTCATCATCCTCAGCCGTTCATTCCAAACCTCGCACAGACATGCAAGCAGCCGATCATCTTTCGAAGATGGGTTGAACGGCACGCCAGATCCCAGACCCTCCCGGGAGCTCCGAAAAGGTGTAAAAGATCTGGCCAAATGAGAAACGATATCATGGGTCTATACGACCACAAAAGGATGCAAATTAATTTACAAGCCTCAGGGAAGAATTAGCAGACCCGTTGGTGAGAGTTTGTGGCTAAGGTATATCTTAGTGTTTCAATGTACGACATATCCTACTCATTTTACACCAAAGCTTTGGTTTATCTCATCTCTTTACTTTATTTTTCTTTTAATCTTCTTCTTCTCCCTGTCACTGTCTGTATGTCTCT